TATACACACACACTTATACGTATGTGTCTGTGTATTTACATTTAAATTTATTAGATTTTTAAAAATTTTAAATGTATATATATTTGCTAAATCCATAAAATTAAATCTAATTACATTTACATTTAGTCATTTAGCAGATGCTTTTATTCCAAATGTAATCTAATGAATCTAAATATTCATTATATTATATATTTAAAAAGTTTAAAATATATATGATTTTTAAAATAATTTTCTGCGGGTCAGTGATGCTGTATCGTCCGTCTCTATGGAAACGAGTGGCACTTCCAGCAAAGGGATGAAGCCAATCTGTGTCTGTTCTCCCAATTAACAGCAGCTCGTCGTCAGGATTAATGATCAATAAGAATCATCTGTGAACCCTTCAGAAAGCCACTCTCCACGTCTGTTAAAGAAAGGGCCCTGAGCTTTAATCAATGCTGATATGAAGCAGAAAGTCCTCATCAGGCTGTGATTAAAGCCTCATCCGCTTGTTTGATTCTGACGGGACACGAGCCTCTCCATCATATTCTCCTGATCAGACTCATGCGTCTCACACACTCACAGCAAACACACATCATTAGCACACATCGATGCGGATCGAGCAGGAGACGCTGGCGCTGAACTGAAGTACAGACAGTTATACAGAGATTCTGGACGGCTTCGGTCCTTCTAATAACTGTCTAGGGTGCCAAATATAAATAAAGACAACAAAACAGCTCTATTTTGCCAGATTTACATAAATAATATTTTTGTCAAATTTTTTCATGCATTTCATTTGTCTAAATGTAAATAGTAAATCTAACTTTAAATCAAAATATAAAATATAAACAAAAAAAACTAAGAAAATTCAAGGCAAATTTTGCAGATTTACCTAAATAAACATTTCTTTTAATTCAAATTTCATACATCATCGTCTTAAGTATTTTTCATGCATTATAGTAGTTAGTTATATGTAATGAATAAAAAAAATAAAATAATAATATTACTTATAAATCTTAAGTCAATTTTTGTCCAAATGTAAATATTAAATCTAACTTCAAATCAGAATGTTAAATCTAAACAAAAATCTTTAAATCAAACATCTTTACAAACGAAATAAAAAATATATAAAAATAAAATAAAATATATTACATCGATGCACCGTGTTGATCAACATACAGATTTACAAATATTTAATATTTAAAGTAAAATGTAAATTACATGCACGTTAAATATGCTAATAGTTTATTTAGTCATTAAAATATATAAAAATGAGACATCTGAAACTGCATTATCTAGTTTATCTAGTAGATCTAGCGGTATCATGTAAACAAATGTTAAAGTGCCCTGATTATGGATTTTTGAAAATTTTGAAATTTTGCATTTCATGCAGTGTGCAACACAGCCCTAAGTGAATGAAAACATCCTGCAAAGTTTTACATCTGAACGTGCACCGTGTATAAAGTTATTGTCTCTCAACAGAAAGAGTCGACTCGGAGTCATTTAAACGAGTCATTTTTAAAACGAATCCCAAGCCGTTTCATCTTGACGTCAACATGAAACATTAGCATATTGCCCGCCCACTTGTTGGTCTTTTCTGTTGGTCTGAATGAAAATGCAAATTCATTCTTTGCCACTAGGTGCCGCTTTTGGAGCGTAAAAATATCTGTTTCCCTGGTAACGCTGTACACAAAGCAGCACTGTGCTCACAAACACTGCTTTATCAGGCTTTACAGGCAAGATCCAATCGGACCGCAGATTAGCGTCACGCAAAGCAGGGGTTTGGAAAAATGAATCGTTGAGCGAATCGTTTGGGAGTCATTGAGCAAGTAAGGTAAAAATAAATGCATATTATAAGACAATGAAAGTGTTTTTTTTAGCTTGCATGCATGTCGACCTGTTGTTGGGGACTCCCAAAACCAAAATATTAACCTTTCATTACCCATAATAGGGGCACTTTAATAGTTGGTCTCTATGGGTCTCTACAGGAGCAGAATTATCAGATAATATAATTATTATTATTACCATGTAAGGCTCTGTAAGCGCAGCCCAGACAGGCCGAGTTTGTCACGTCGATGGTGTAAACCGGAGTGCTGAAGACGTCAGACAGAACCTGCAGCGTTGAGAAGATGAATGAGCATTACATTAATCAAGACACATTTCAAAATCATTTGAGAAGCATGCACATGTGTTGGTTTTGCAAAAACATTTAAAAATAAATATGAAAAATGCACATTTTTCGGTCATTATACTTGCATAAATAATGTAAAAAAAAATTCCCCAATGTCAAATGCAAATATTAAATATTTAAATTAAAAAATAAAGTACACTTGCATATAAAATCTTAAATTAGTTTTTTCCAAATATAAATGCAAATATGAAATCTTTAAAAAAAAATAAAAAAAACTTTACATAAGTATAAGTCTTGAATCTAACATGCAAATATTAAAAATTTTAAGATTTAAAATTTACATTTAATGTGTTAAGTTTTTTTTTTATATTTACATTTGTAAAAATTTGATATTTGAAACAGCGCACTGCAAAAAAAAAAAAAAAAAATGGTTTTCTTAGTATTTTTGTCTTGTTTTCTAGTATAAATATCTAAGAATTCTTGAATCAAGATTAATTTACTTTACAAGTAAAATGACTAAAGATATTTTATTTTCTGAACAAATTATCAAAATTATGTTCGTTTTTGCTTAAAACAAGCAAAAATATCTGCTTCCCCAATGTCAAATGCAAATATTAAATATTTAAATTAAAAAATAAAGTACACTTGCATATAAAATCTTAAATTAGTTTTTTCCAAATATAAATGCAAATATGAAATCTTTAAAAAAAAAAAAAAAAAAACTTTACATAAGTATAAGTCTTGAATCTAACATGCAAATATTAAAAATTTTAAGATTTAAAATTTACATTTAATGTGTTAAGTTTTTTTTTTATATTTACATTTGTAAAAATTTGATATTTGAAACAGCGCACTGCAAAAAAAAAAAAAAAAAATGGTTTTCTTAGTATTTTTGTCTTGTTTTCTAGTATAAATATCTAAGAATTCTTGAATCAAGATTAATTTACTTTACAAGTAAAATGACTAAAGATATTTTATTTTCTGAACAAATTATCAAAATTATGTTCGTTTTTGCTTAAAACAAGCAAAAATATCTGCCAATGGGGCAAGAAAAATAATCTTGTTTAGCCTTTGAATTAAGATTATTTTTCTTACCTCATTAGCAGATATCTTTGCTTGTTTTAAGCAAAAGCTTACAAAATGTTAATAATTTCTTCAGAAAACAAGACTTAATATCTTAAGTCATTTTACTTGTCAAGTAAATGCATCTTGGTTCAAGAATGTTTAGACATTTATACTAGAAAACTAGACAAAAATACTAAGTAAGAAAATCATTTCTGGCCAATCTCAGCGTTGTTTTGTAAAATACTGTAAATACCTGTAAAATGTCCTTGTTGGATGACGCTCCTCCTGTGGCCAGCACTCGTGTACCAGCAACTATAAAACAGATTAATTCATGTTATACTGTATATCATCATAAACCACACTTACTGAGACACAGCCCCTGTGACAACTAGCCCCGGCCTAACCTACAATAACAGAAGAGCTGCGAGCTGATTCTCTCCCACGCCAGACATCAAACATGCTAACGCTGCCATCAGGCCGCAATGAGACATAAAACATTATGTTATGCTAATTAAAGCATAATTCAGGCTGCATGAAGCATAAAAACAAATGTTACGCAATAAAACGGCACATAAATAGGAAAATCATAAAATTATTGCACTTGTAAAATTCATCGTGATGAACAGATTTATGATCAGTAAACAGCATCTTAATAAAAGCATGAACCTGATAATCAGGTATAAATTAAATAATATTTAAATAAAATCCCATGCATGCAAAATAGCACGATTTTAAAAAGCAAGCAAGAAATGCAAGAAAGAAAGAACATTTAAAAAACATATAAAATTCAAATATTTCCACATAGTTTAATAAATATATAAACAAATTTAAATAAGTGCATATACACATACGTTTTATATTTAAAAAAGCAAGAAAAAGAAACAAAGAACCCAAGAATAAAAAAATAATTAAATTATTAAAATTAAAATGCAAACGTCTAACTGCATTCCATTCATTATAGTTTAAGAAATACAAAAACAAAATTAAAACTAAAATAATATATAAACGTTAATTTTAAATATTTCTTTCTAAACGTAGATATAAATATATTAAACATAACTTTACAACTTTAAGCACTTGGGAAATAGTCAAATTAAAGCAAGCAAGAAAGCTGCACATCAATTAAAAAAATAAATGTAAATCTTACTTATAAATGCAAATATGCATCATTTAAATATGAATTAGTGATGCCTCCCATTTGGATTTTTAATTAACATTCTGATCATTCGAATTTGCATTGAGGGTTTATTATATTAAGATTTATACATTTTTTAAATATTCATTAAGGAATAAATGTTATTTGATACTGAAACGCATTACAGATATTCAACAGAGTGAATAATTCCAGTATCAATATCCTAAGATCTGCACCCAAATGAATCAGAATAAGCAGTGTGAGGGGTGTGGCCTTCATCATCATCAGTGTCTTACTATAGGGATATATTGCAAAGCACATGTGTAATCAGCAGAGAGAGAATCATAAAGACGGTTGTGTGGCTGTTAAATGCTGAGTAATGTAAATGTGTGACGCATTGAGACGCAGCCGTGCATCAGTCCTGCATCATCCAGATGTCTGTGTTGACTACAGAAGAGTGCATTATTAATGAGTATTGATACCCTGACCTTCACTCAGCACAAATCGTCTGATAGAACAGAAAACATGCGGATATATGTGAAATCCTGCTGGAAGAGACACGGATATCACTGGAGGGAACCTTTGATTAGTGCAACCCTAAAGTTTGGGCTAAGATTTTTTTATTTTTTTGAAAGAAGTCTCTTCTGTTCAGCAAGGCTGCACTTATTTGATCAAAAATACACTGAAAAAATTTGAAATAATATTACAAGTTAAAACAGCTGTTTTCTATGTGAATATGTGTTAAACTGTAATTTATTTCTCTGATGCGAAGCTGTATTTTCAGCATCATTACTCCAGTCTTCAGTGTCACATGATCTTCAGAAATCATTCTAATATGCTGATTTGCTGCTCGAGAAACATTTCTGATTATTATCAATGTTGAAAACGGTAGTGCTGCTTCATATTTTTGTGGAAACTGTGATGCATTTTATTTTTCAGGATTCACAGATGAATAGAAAGTTCAGAAGAACAGCATTTGTTTGAAATAGAAATATTTTTATAAATTATAATATGTAAAATAAAGCAATAAGCCCCGTGAAGCCGTGGTTTACATTGTGCCTAACAACGCCCCTTAGCTGTTATAAATTCACTGTAAACCACGGCTTCTTGGGGCTTATTGCTTTATTTTACATAATATAATTTATAAAAATATTTCTATTTCAAACAAATGCTGTTCTTTTAAACTTTCAAAACTTTTTAAATTAAAATGTAAGAAAATTTAGGAAATTCATATTTTTATTCAATAAGGATGCATTAAATTGATCAAAAGCGACATTAAAGACATTTAAAGTACATGATAAAATTACATACTATATAACTACTAAATTATTCACATCAATTATATCTGCATTATAATTTATTAAAATATTTCTACTTCAAATAAATGCTGTTATTTTGGACTTCAAACTTTTGAGAAAATATATTATTTTATTATTTTAATGAATATATTTTTAAAGATAGAAACACATTTACATTTACATTAATGCAATAGATGGAAAAAGGATATTTTCTCCTGCTGAGAAATAAGCAGCTGTATTTGTGTAAAATATTGTTTTAATAATAATAATAATGACGATACAGCGTATGAATAATGAATTCAGCGCATGGGAACGGTTCCTAGGCTGTTTTTATTTGAGCTCCATGAAATGATGCATATAGGAACATTCTGTTGGTTACAGACAGGTTACAGAAGGCAGTTAATGATTTTACTTAATGAAAGCATTAATACATATTTTTGATTTTAATATTTCAAGCACAACACAAACTCATACAGCAGTTGAAGTGCACTTGCTGAGGTAATACAGACGACTGACCTGGAGAAACAGCAGTAATGATTGAGACACCAGACACTCACTGATCTTGTAGCCCAGTTTTTCTGCATGAACTCGTTTGGCCAGGAACTGTCCTTCAATCAGAGCTCGGATTTCCATCTCGCGCTCAAACGAGGCGACCTGAGCGAGAGCGAACACAAAGACGCGAGCCGCCCATCAGCACGAGAACAGAACCAAAACACAAGGTTTTACAGATAAGACCTGATTATCTAGTTCTTTAGAAACACTGTGTGCTGCTGGTGCTTAAAACAAACCAAACTCCAAAACACTAAAGAAATCATCAAGAACATTTGTATAATATAATATATATAATATAATATAATGTAGAGTTAATCAAATGAAGCTTGTTTTTAAGACCATTAAGATTTTTTTAGACGTTATTTTCATGATAATTAACTCACATTACTGTAATGCAAAAAATATAAATAAATAAATAAAAGTTAATCAAATGAAGCTTGTTTTTAAGACCATTAAGATTTTTTTAGACGCTATTTTCATGATAATTAACTCATTACTGTAATGCAAAAAAAAATAAAAAATAAATAAATAACATGTTTAAATATTTTAAAAAAAGAATAGAATATTTACTTTATATTTTACTTATATTTTATAGAAATTATATTACTGATTTAAATTAAAAACAACTGTAATACATTTATTTTTTTGTAAAAGTATAAAAAATATTATTAATTAAATAAAAAGATATACAGTGGGTACGGAAAGTATTCAGACCCCCTTAAATTTTTCACTCTTTGTTATATTGCAGCCATTTGCTAAAATCATTTAAGTTAATTTTTTTTCCTCATTAATGTACACAGTTATTTTAGTGCATCAAACAAAATAAAATTGAGAAATACGTTTTTATATTTCATTTCAGTTTTTATACATTTTTATTTCAGTTTTAGTTATTTTAACACAAACAAAATAAAAATGAGAAATAAGTTTTTATATTTCATTTAAGTTTTTATAAATTTTTATTTCAGTTTTAGTTATTTTAGTACATCAAACTAAATAAAAATGAGAATTAAGTTTTTATATTTCATTTCAGTTAACATGTATTTTATAAAAATTTATAAAAAAAAAAATTCAATAATTTTGTTGTTTGTTTTTGTCTATATATATATATATACACACACACACACACACACATACATATATATATATGTCCATATACTTTCTTTTTCGTTCTTTTTTTAGTTTGAGTTATTTTAAATCATTAACATTAAGTTAAATGAAGTGAAAATGAGAAATGTTGCTTTGATATTTTGTTACCAAATAAAATAAGTTTAACTTTTTATATTTTATTTCAGTTAACTTTTCTTTATTTCAAGGAGTGAAAATGTTTTTTCAGTTTATTTTTTTTATTATTTTAGGTTTAGTAAACAATAACAACCATGCTATCTAGAATATGTAATCACCTAAATTCCCATTGTTTCCCATCGGTGTGGCTCTCATAGCGCTGGAGAAACGCTCCCATGATCCTCCAGCACATTCGTCACGGATCCGCTCTCGTGTGAAAGAGCCGTTTTTAAAGCTGAGAGAGAAAAAGCAGATCAGTGTGAGTTTATGAATAACCAGCGACGCTCTTCACTTCAACACTTCAGACTCAAACTCCGGTCTTTCCTCTCTTCTGGATGCCATTATAAATGAGGTCAATCTTCATTTCATCTCAAGTGTTTTAAATGCAAACAGAAGGAATGCAGCACTTAAGCGACTGGCTTTTCTTCAACTCAACTTATGAACGGTTTCACAAGTGCATAACCAAAATCACTCTTTATACAGCCAGCCTTGACGGGTAAAGCAGCGCTCTCACGGAGAGAAAACCCCTGAAACAACTCTTAAAAACTTCAACAAGGTCAGTCGAGAGTCTCAAAAAGAGCACAATATTTACATTGACTCTCTCTTTTCTTTCTCAGACGCTAAAGTGAAGAAAGAGACACGAGTGACGGACTGTAAGACGGGGATCTGAGGCGTCAAACACTCAAGTTTAGCCTCAAATCACACAGAAATCACTGAATTATGACACTAAACTTAACAGAATCTTCTAGTTGGCAAAATCTCACAGAGAAATGACATATTTAAACCCAAAATCTAGACAAAAGAATATGATATAAAAATTACGGCAAGAAAATATATTTAATATAATTTAATTTCCCATTAGTGTAATGAAATCAGATGCTTTACTTTTATAAACTCTTATAAATTTTATATTCAATTAGAATAAATCGAAGTTCAACAAACAATTTACAAACATTTAAATAACTTTTTCTTTATATTACCTTTATATTTATCAAATTTTTCTCATTATACATTAATGAAAATTAATACATTCAAAGCACAAGATCAAACACTGAAGTAGCAGATCAATATGTATTAGATATTATTAGACAATAGACAATTATTAATTATAGTTCAAACCAAAATAAAAATAAAAATATTCAAGATTATCCTCAATTTCTTATTACTGTAATGTGTTCAGATTTTTCATGATTTTCATGACTCTATTTTCTATTTATTTACTCTTATCACGATAAAAAAAATGACTATACAATGATTTTTATTTAAATCTGAATAAATTAAATGCAATGCAACAAATACTTTACAATTTTTTTGTTTACATAATAATAAAAATGAAACACCGCATAAGTGTTTTATCTGAACTTATATTTCACATCAAAATAAAAATAAAAATATTTAATACTACAATTTTTATAGAAATATATTTTGCATAAAATGAATTTTTGGACTGTTAAGATTTATTGCTTTCAATTTCTTATTATTGTAATGCATTCAGATTTTTTTTATTTACTCGATTACAATATAAATTAATATAATTTTTTTTTATTTAAATCAGAATAAATTAAATGCAATACAACAAATACTTTTCATTAAAGTAAAAACACTTTGGAGGAAAATGAGCACAATGCAAAAAAAGTCTTCATTTTCTTTACATTAAAAACAATCTTGATTCTAACTGTACAGACGTGAATTTACTTTACACACTCACACACACACACACACACACACACAGACAGACACACACACACACAGACACACACACACTCACACAGACACACACACTCACTCACACAACCACACACAGACACACACACTCACACACTCACACACTCACACACACACTCACACAACCACACACACACACACACTCACACACTCACACACTCACACAGACACACACACACACAGACACACACACTCACACACTCACACACTCACACAGACACACACACACACAGACACACACTCACACAACCACTCACAGTGAATTTACTTTTCCTTCAGCCTGAAGTTTATTCATTACACTTTTTGGTGTGAAAGGGCTTTTACATTTGCTATAAATAGAACTTCTTATATTAAAAACAATCAAGCCATGCTCATATTTAAAAAGTAACGTAACGCATTACTTTGCATAAAAAGTAACTAAGTAACGTAATTAGATACTTAACGCAATATTGTAATGCATTACTTTTAAAAGTAACTTCCCCAACACTGCCGGTAGCTGTGTGTGTTTTACCAGATCAAAGCCATGTATGCGCTGCAGTCCACCGGGTTACAGAAGATGTGGCCCTCTACGCTGGGTCTGGGGCCCCGGATCCACAGGAAAACTGTATCGCTGGTGCCCAAACTCACCTGGAGAGACCAGAACACTACAGTCCATCACAAACTACTCCGGACAGACCCCAGCTAACACATGGAGATTATGACGGTGTGGGAACATTGTTTTAAAATGTTTCTAAAATGTTGAAATGTTCAGTCTCCTTGTTGTGATTATAAGGTTACAAACTCTCTATTTTCACCTTAAATAAAACATTATTTGAATGTTTACTTTTAATACTCTAAGAATTATTATAATGTTATTTAAAGGTCCATAAAACATTTTCGCAACATTCTAACTTTATTTTCACCCACAATACAACATTATTTGAATGTTTATTTTTAATATTCTAAGCCTCAGAAAATTAATATTTTAATTAATATTAATTAATATTTATTATTTTGTTTAAATTGTTTATTATTATTTTATTAAATATATTAATATTAATATTTTGGGTGAAAAAGTTAAAATGTTGCGAAAATGTTTTATGGACCTTTAAATAACATTATTTTTAAAGTTTATTTTTAATATTCTAAGAACTATTACTAACTTTATTTTTACCCACAATAATGTAATTTGAACATTTTTTTAAACGTTCTAAGAACGTTAAAATGTCCAATTTTCTTTTCATAATTAAAACATTATTTAAAGGTTACAAAAAGTGTCTTATAAAATTCTGCTAACTTTTATTTTCACCTAAAATATAACTGTATTTCAACGTTTATTTTTAATATTCTAAGAATTATTACTAACTTTATTTTTACCCACAATAATGTAATTTGAACATTTTTTTTAAACATTCTAAGAATGATAAAATGTCAAATTTTCTTGTCCTTATTATAATTTTATTTAAAGGTTCCGAAAATGTTTTTTGCAACATTCTACAAACTTAATTTTCACCCACAATACAACATTATTTTTTATGTTTATTTGTAATATTCTAAGCAAATTAAAATGTCCAGTTTTATTTTCATAATTAAAACATTATTCAAAGGTTACAAAAATCTTACATTTATAACTTTTCTTTTCACCCAAAATATAACTTTATTTGAACGTTTATTTTTAATATTCTAAGATTACTAACTGTTTTTACCTAAAATAATGAATTTTTTAAACATTCTAAGACCGTTAAAATGTCAATTATCTTGTCGTTATTATAATTGTATAAATGTTTCTTTTGCAACATTCTACTAACTCTATTTTCACCCAAAACTATAATGTTTCTTTTTAACATTCTAAGAATGTTTTCTCAATGTTACAAGAACATTTATCAAGAACAAATCACATCATAAGGACGTTCAGAGAATGTTCTCAGAAGGTTTTCTCTCATCGTTATGACAACGTACATCAAATATTAACAAGGTTAAAAGAACATTACATAGACATTACATAAAAATTACTTTAAGAATGTTTTGTCCTAACATTTACACAAATTTACTGAAAAAACGAACAAAAAAATTAATTGCGAGAACGTTCCCATTCCCTTAGTTTATACTAAAGCCAGAAATGCAGCAGGTTTTGGTCATTTTAGGCAGCTTCTGGGTTATGTTTCCATGTGCTCTCGAACAACCTGATCATTTTCCAGCAAAAAGCAGAGCAAACACTGACTCTAATGCAAACAACCGCAAGCGTCTGTGCTAACATTCATTCAAACGCAGAGGGATGAACGAGGCAGAACTGCCTGATGAAGAGACGAGTCGAAGACTGATTGGTGATTTCAGAGCGGATTCTTTAGCGTGTTAAACACACGCGTGTGTCATGAGATGATTCCACACAGCAATCCAGCGTTTATACAGCACAGCTTTGATGTATGGATCATACATTCAGCACTTTACAGAGCATATATATCACTAATTGCACCATTTCATTTTAGAAATATAAATGCAGGAGGCAATTACAGAGCTAAAAATGAAAAAAAAAAATCATAAAACATGGTCAGATGGCTTAAGATTACAGTTATTAATTTTTTTTAACTATTTTCCATTTTTGTTATTTTCATTTTAGATTTAGTTAAACTTTTAGTAGTTTTGCTGTGTTTTTGACATTTTTATTATTGCTTATTATTGTTTTTTTATTATTATATATATATATATATATGCACACATTTTTAATTATAACAGTACTTCAAGTTAAAATAAATGAAAATGAGAAATGTTAAATAATGTAATATCTAAGAAATACTATTAAAGTATATAAAATTACAAAATATTAAATATATAATTATATATTATGATATATTTTATGTCTGTTAAAGTTTATAAAATTTCAAGAAAACATATTTGCTGGTCTAAAGATTATCTGAAAAGTTTGGGAGGAAAGAGTTTTTTTTTATCATAAATAATTACACTATCGTTCAAAAGTTTGGGGTCAGTAAGATGTTTAATGCTTTAGAAAGACATCATTCTAATATGCTGATTTGCTGCTCAAGAAACATTTCTGATTATTATCAATGTTGAAAACGGTCGTGCTGCACAATATTTTTGTGGAAATTGTGATGCATTTTATTTTTCAGGATTCACAGATGAATAGAAAGTTCAAAAGAACAGCATTTATTTGAAATATAAATCTTTTTGTGACATTATAAATGTCTTTACTGTCACTTTTGATCAATTGAGTGTGTCCTTGATTAATAAAAGTGTTTTTGCATTTTTACATGTGTATTAAAAAGTCACTCACCGCTAGATCTCCTTCCTTTAGCCTCATACCAGCCAGAGATCCTGAAACCAAAAACATATCGGATCATTAAATCAGACAAATAAAACCGTCTTAAGAAGGTCTCCAAACAGAGAGGAAGTCTGGAAGGACGTCAGAAACCTAATGAAGATGTCTCTGATATTATGAAAGGCAAAGAAAAGGTTTTGGAAGAGGCTGTTAATGCTGAACACACAGTTACAGACATGTTTTCATCTGCGACTCGCTGGAGTTTAACGGCAGGCGGTCAGCGGTGATCCTGATGGCCTTGCAGGAAAAAACATTCAATAAATCACCTGCTAACAGGAGCTTCAGCAGCCGAGAAAAATGATCCCTGAATACTAATATCAACACATCAGGAAAATCCATTTCAGCACTTTGCAGCAAAATGGAAACGTACGCTGTCAACTGAACGACTAACTTCGTCAACTGAAATGCAACATCGTCATTTTTTAGCGGTTTCAGAAAACATGGTCTCCTCCTACAAGAATAAATTACAAAGCTCTCACCACATCAGCTCATCTGCTGTCCTGAGTCTTAAAATGAGCAATTTAAATATTTATATTTATAATTAATTGAAATTAACATGTAATGTTAAATAATGTAATATCTAAGAAATACTATTAAAGTATATAAAATTACAAAATATTAAATATATAATTATATATTATGATATATTTTATGTCTGTTAAAGTTTATAAAATTTCAAGTAATTAATTTTTTTTATGGATTTAGTTTAGCTTTAGGTAACTACAATAATATAATATAAATAGCAGGTTTATCCCAAATATAATTTTCACCAGTAGGTGAAGATCTTTTTTTTTTTTAGTTATAAGCAATAAAACATATTTGCTGGTCTAAAGATTATCTGAAAAGTTTGGGAGGAAAGAGTTTTTTTTTATCATAAATAATTACACTATCGTTCAAAAGTTTGGGGTCAGTAAGATGTTTACTGCTTTAGAAAG